TCCAATGACCTGAAACGTTTCAAGGCTCGAAGGCGGGGTATGTACTTCATCCAGTTCTCTGCAGTTTTGGCGTCAATCGGCTTTTCATTGCTGGCGACTGCAGGGGGCATGACAAACTTAATGCAAACCCCTAGGCATCAAACGGCCCCTTACAGTTTTGGAAACAAATTGAACACCTCAAACCAAAAAAAGTCGTCCTTCTGGGATGAGGGCGGAATCCGCCATGCTTCTCGCGATGTCATATGGCAAATACAAAATAGTTTTGCGTTGCCAATCTTGATCGCTCATCCAACGCTTGGTCCTTGAATCCATGCTACTGTTTCGCAGCATACTCACAGGACATGAAAGAAGGGGGAGGGAGCAATGACCCAATAACTGAAGGGCACCATAACACACACAACTTTGTCATTTGAGATGTCACAGTAATAGTCACAGTCATCTTCAATTGACAAGGGTCCGAAGGATCACATCACACCCATGAGGCTGCACTCTGAAGCGGTCCCAGAATCTGCTGTGACAGGAGCTGCGATCAAAACCTGTCCGCGCACAAAGGTTAAAATGTGTGTGTTACTATATTTATTATATTGTAGTAGACTGCGGCAGGACTTAGTCTGTGTAGCACAAAGAAAGGTCGAGACTTGATGGTTTGCTTCCACTGCGTTGGTATTCTTACTCGCCTGGGAGGTCTTCTGCCCTGTCAAAGGCGAACACATGCGGTGCTCCTGGGCCAGCTATGCCAATTGCCAGGAAAGACTTCCTCACGCAAAGGACACAAACGGACACTGATTTGACTTTACAAAATGACTTAGATCCCATCCACCATGACAAAAAGAAACTTGCAGCAATTGAGAAAGAACAGTGCAACAAACTCACCTCCGCCTCCCCCACCCACCCACCCATCCACACACAGACACAGACACACACACGAATGGTAAAATTCAGCATCTCAGGAGAGGTTGAAAGGGCTTACAACGAATGGTTTTCATGCCCTTTCAACCTCTCCTGGTCTTTTGCAACGAAGCTCCAGTCTCGCGTGCCCCCCACTTCATAGACAATTGTATTGGGCTCATAAGGCCTGACGTCAGGATGGTCGCGGCCAAAATTGGTCAAGCTCCAAACGAAATCTGCTGGTGTGTGTAACTCAGGCGATGCCTGGATGTGGGTCGCGATTGCAGAAAAGTATTGATCAACATCCTCATGGGTGTGAGCTGTCTGAAGGTAGCGCATTTCTGCGCGGTAGACCTTCTTCAAGGATGTGATCATGCCCATGAAGTGCATCATGCAGTTGTTCTTCGTCTCCTTTGAGCAATTATCGCTCTGCAGAATGACTTCTGCAGAGCGGATGTCATGTTGGTCAGCCAGCCTGTGCAAGGCGTTGGCGAACAGGTCAACGACCCAACTGCTGCCCTTTCCAACGCGCGGTCCACTGATTGCTATCACGCAGCTGTGGCCGTGTGTTATCATGGCCGACATGTCCAGAGATGGGCGACTGAAGGAGTCAAACTCCTTTGTGGTCATGATCCGGGACCTTGGCAGCTTGAACTTCGATCTGTCCATGCCATCCGTGATCATGCAAAAACTCCGTCTGCCGCATGGCAAGAAGAAGAGCCTTGAGGTTGACCTAGCCTGCCAGTACTGAACCCTGTCAGCGTAGGTACGTTTCAGGTGCCGGACATATTCTTTCATTTGCCCAGCCCTTGCACGCGTGTTTGCAAGTCTCTTGAGGATCATCTTGTGCTTCTTGCAAATCCCACAAGTGGCATGTTGACTCCTGGGCCTTATCCCCAAACGATCACTGAAGAACTGCCCCCCAAACCTTGGCAGGGCCCGTAACAGCAAGGGTTGATGGCAGGAAACCATGACCAGCCAAACAAAGACAATACTCAGGACAGAAATAACAAAGGAGCAAACATTCAATCAATCATTCCCCTGTCCAAACCAGCTAAACTTCTACCCAAAGAAAACTAAATGCTGAGCCATCAGAAATTCAACAGAGGGTGCCATAGTGAATTGATTGAACCATCAATGAAAAGGAAATCCTAATGAACAGTCCGGTTGACTCAAACTTATTGCGATCTAAAGAAGAACCAGGCCACCTTCAGGAAAAGTTTGAGAGAGAACCGTTCACATGTGTGCTTGTCCTGTAGCAGCCGAAGGTAGTCCGTAAATGTCCCTGGTGGCAACAGCTTCATCGCCACAGGCGGAGCTTGACCTGGCAGAGCTTCCAGAGCTGGCTTGGAGGACGATGAGACAACCTTCAAACCAAGTGCCCGTTTCTGCTTTGATGGAACTTTTCCATGGGCTCGGCGAAACTTCATGTCAGGAAGCACAGCGTCTTCCAAGCCTTTCCGCTTCTTTCCAACTTCTGGCATAGGCTCAGCCATCGTACGCAAAATTTCCTCTAGAAATTCTGCGATCAAACCCCGCTTCCGGATCGATTCGCGGTGGCTTCCGTCATCTCGTCTGGGCCGCTGCCGCAAATCCACAGGAGCTCTCTGGTTAGTTGCGACTGCTTTCTTCAGCTTGGCGAAGCGCATGGCCCCCAAACCCAGGAGGCGTTTGAAGGCATGCTGGCACACTGGCCTTCCCAAAATAAGCTGCCGCTTTCGCTCACTCTGAGAGGGCGGCGTCAGCCTCAATAGGTCCATGACCTATAGGGAATTGATGTCGCGCTATTCTCCTGGGAGAGGCTTTCTCATGGAACACTTAATGCGTTGCTTAAAATAAACTAAACCGGTTTGATTTTCATGAGACTAGCCTGCTCGTCCATATCTTCCTTGTGGAGTTTCCGCAAGCGTGCATTGAGCCTTACAAGGTCGTCTAGTTGCCCCCCAAACTGCTGGAAGCAACCAGTAGTGGGTCGCTTCAGAGTCCGAGCGCATTTGCACACAGACTGAATCAGTTTGGCTAGCTTGGGACGCCTGCATTCAATGGGGACCTTGCCCCCCAGTCTTTGCTCGCTTCAAGGGTGCAGAACGGTTCCGACACACTTGCTCATCCGCCCCATCGTCTGACAACGCAGCAAGGTCTCGCGTGGCCACAGGTTGCCCGCTGGCAGCACCGTCATCATCAGACAATGCTGCAATGGGCGACAGAACCATTGCACTCAGAACAGGGGTCCACCAAAATTGACTGAAAGAAGAAATGAACTGACACAATAACATTAAGGTAGCTGACAGCTTGGATGTGGGGCAGAAGGATCAACCATTTGGAAACTTGAGCACACACTAAAAAGTCCCACGCGAGTACAAACTTCATCAAACACAGTGGCCAACAATTAAAAACTGCTAATCTTTAAAACCTGGCTTGGAAAACTGTGCAGTGAACCCTTGTTGGCAAACAAACTCCCAAATCTCGTGAGCACTCACACAAATTGCACTGGTTTATGCTCGCATTGCGAAATAGCCTGTCAATGAATTACCAACACTCCGGGGCTAAGGCCGTACCTCTGGCCAGTCAGAGCGTTTATGAAAGCACCCCACCAACACAGGAATGAACTACTCTTGTAACAGTTACTGATGATTTCATTGAAACTCATGAGGCAGGATTCAGAAGGTCCACTTTGCTCTTCAGCCGCCGCAGGGCTGCGCACTGCGAAGGATTCCCAGCAGTCAAGGGGTTCTCGCCTCGCAGGCATGAAATAGAATGTTTAACATCTCTGGGCCACAACAACACCTTATGACAAAATCAGGGCCCGGCTGCTGCCAGAAGATTCAGCTGCCCGCTTTTTCTTTCGCTGTGTTCCTTCCAGACTGATGAGTCACACTAATTTTGCGTGAGTTACGTGGGCCTGACAAAGAATCAGAAGGAAGACCTTCTTCAAGGTTGGGGCGGGCCTGTGCGCTTGCCAGAGGGTAGCTCCACAGGTTTTACTCAACATTATGATCTCGTAAACAAGAAGAATGAAAAAACTTCAGGTTGCCTGCAAACCTCTGTCGGCACTGATCTCTGGATCAATGGCAAGGATGACATCAGAGTTGGCAACCGCCTCCAAGAACATCAGCTTGAGCAAAACTGACAAACTGACGGCCCATTCATTTTTTGCAAACGATTAAGGTCCAGTCCCAGGCCTCTGCGGATTCAGCTACTTGTTTGGCATTGGCATCGTCGTCCGAACCAAGAACTTCGCAATCGGAGTTTTCCCAGTTCGAATCGTCCCATGGAGAGCCAGAATTCCCACAATGTAGATCTTCTTTGCAATAAACACTGCCCCACCATGATTGCTTCGGAGGGCGGTCCCGGCGCCCGTTTCCGACAAAAGAAGCCGAAGCCATGGCGCTGTCAAACAAAACACAGTCACAGCAAACCTCAAGAGCCGTAGGACAACAAAAGGTGAAGCCTTCAACACGGCTCAAATGCAGCTGCACACCGACTGGCAGAAGGGTTTAAACAGGCCAGTGACACGTAATTGAGCGGCGGCGCTGGTGAAGAGAGCATATTATGAATTAGAATGCCACAGCACGCAGGTGACTCTGAGACTAGTCTACTGCAGAAAGCCATACGTTTCAAGTCTAGAATGGGCACTGCATGCAAAACAATTACCACAAGCAATTCCAACTGACAAGATTCTGAGAAACATAATAGCCTTTAGCATCTTCAACAAAAATTAAGAACCAACCCTGCCCATCTAAAGTTTCGCAAGTAGGCTGACTGCAACCTGGGCCATCTGAGGGATGACGATGTTGCCGCAAGCCCGCAGACGGCTAACGTCATCAGGACGTCGATCATTGGTCAGCCACGTTGACAAACGTGGCTTGGCACGGAAATGATGGCACTTATGGGCCTCGGCCTCAATCTCTGCGGAGGACATGACATCGATGCCCTGCCAGAACTGCAAATGAGAAGGCAGAACGCAATGAGTATGAAAGCGAAATGTGAAGCGCAAGTAGCCAGCCTCAAACAGGGTGCACGCCCGGTCTTCTTTGCGCGCCAAAATGAAGACGCGCTCACGTTTGACCTTCAAGCCATAATAGTCTACAGAACTTGCTCCGTTGCAGCAGTCGGCTGAGGAGCAAGCGTGGAATCCGGCCATTTGGCCACTGACAACGCACCATTTGACCAGGAACTGCCTTCGATTGAACTCCTGGCAGAACCAATGATGGCCAGAACAATTGCCTTGATTTGCAAAACACAAGGCAGAAGCACGCGCAAGATGTACTGCCACATCGGACGCAAGTCCAGTGACAGCAAATGCTTCACATTTTCCAGCAAGCAAAAAATACCTGCCACACTTGGGAAGCAATGGAAATCTGGTCAAGTCACATTGAAAATTGCGCATGCACACGACACACAAGGGCCGTGCACTCCAGGGATCTCATCTAAGAGCTTGAAGAAAGCGGAGACCAATTTGGATCTATGGTCTTCAAGTCCAAGTTTCTTGCCGCTTTTGGAGATCCCCTTAGCTATCATAACAGCGTTCTTTTCTTAGACCCGGGTCGACTTATACTTCCAAACAAAAAAATGTTCCAATCCAAACCTTCATTGAACTACAAGGTGCCTGGCAGGGAAATCCGCCCACCAAGCCCTCACAGGAATCTTGGACAGACTGCGATGGTTTGTAGGCTTCCACATCGGAGAACGCCGGGGCATGATCCAAGTACCCGTCTTTGATACGGGCTTTCAGAACCTGCTGACATTCTGGGGACCACTCGACCTTGGAGTTCGAAAGGAAGCGCATCGCAATTCCAACGCAGCTGCGAAGCAAAAAGATTTGGACTCAGACGAAGCCCATAACCTTGCACATCCTGAGTACTGCAACACATTCTACTCATCCCCAGCCCAGCTGTGGCGGAAACTTGAGGGTATGGCGAGGACAGGCCCAATTCAAGGCCACCCACACCACTGAAGAGGGACAGCACGTTGAGGCGCTTGCAGGCCTGGAACAAAACACGGCACAACTTACGCTCATCACCCATAATAAAGCCATTGCAGGGTTCAAGACAAAATATGTCCTATATAACCTGTTGCATTCTTGCCTTGTGATGCTCATGGTTTGGGAAACGACGTGCAAAGTCTGAAGAGTCAACTTGACCAGGGAATGGAGAGGTCCAGCCACGTGGCAACCCTCAGAACATTCAGTCATATCATGGTACAAAGTAGCAACGTGTTTTGTGACCTGCCACTTACTTATCTGTGAAAGTTTCAATCTATGCAGTGACAAGGTGCCACTTAAGAACTCAGCAGCAGGAACACTCAGGTACTTTCCAAGAGGACGGCCGTCGAATCGGCAGGATTTGCGGTAAGCGTCCCAATAGTACAGTTGGGTAGCCAAGTCCTGCCGTTTCAAGAAACTACCCAATAAAGATTCAATCTCTGAAATGAGGCTTTACTTTGCGTCGTCTGTCAAAAAGGCACACATCCTGGCTCCCGCGCTGGGATAAATAGCCCTGACAGGCTTGAGTTGTTGATGTAAAGCAGCCTCAGAACAATGGGCTGACTTAATGAGTACACGTCCTGCAAAACAAAACAGTCTCTCACATTCTGCAAACCTTCTTCAGGCTGGAACGAATGCATCCAAAATTGTTTCGGATTACTGGGGATTTCACAAGCTTCACCTTTGACGCCTGCTTGAGAGCGGACTTCTTGACTCGTGGTACCTTGCAAAGCCACACCGCAGCAGTTTTGCACCAACACACCACAACCAACACACCCCAGTCCATTCCAAATTTTTGGACAACCAAGAAACATTGCTCTTGAACTCAACGTGATTTGGGGTCCAAGAAACCAATCGCATGTTCAGTGGACCCGCCATTGGAATGCGTTTGAATGGCAGCTTGACATTCAAAAAACCTAGCTTTCCGTGCTGGAAGCATCTGGCCACAGTTGGGGAACCGCTTGTCATCAAAGTTGGCCTGACAGGAGCAACACTAGGCAGCTCCCTTCATTCTGCCCCTCTACACTTGGTCCCCAGCCATGAATTTGAAATTGGCTTGCGCTCGAACAGTCGTCGTCTTCTTGCCGCAGTGGCGCGAACTGAGAGTTCGATGGCCAGAGCAAATTAAATATGTGAGAAAAAACGGTTTGCATTCTCAATGGAATCTGGGTGGCAGGCTCATCACTCAGGGTAGAAATTCCACGCTTCATCGTCGTTCTTGTTTGCGCTTGAATTGTCGTCTTCCAATGGCCGTTGTGATGGGAACTGGGCGCGCGGGGCAGAACAATCTATCATCACTGCCACATCAAAAATGCATTATAAAACCCTGTGAGGGCCAAGTCTTGACCAACATCTTGGGGTCGGGCTCATCGTCACTTAAAGTCGAAATCCCGCGCTTCAGAGGTCCCATGTCGGCCCCGCGCAGTGACCGGCCGGCGCAAACACAAAAAAATGGCTGGACCCGCGATCAAGAAGCAGTGGCGGGACTCGCGCAACGGATTCACAAACACGTCCTCTACCTTCTGGTATAATGATGGCCTCCAACCTACTAGCGATGGCCTCCAGCCTACTAGTCTCAGTGATGGCCTCCAACCTACTACTAGGCTTGGCCTCCGACCTACTGACGCACCGTTTCATGGGGGCCCTGACTGGTACAGTTGAGGCCAAAAGATCTCAAAAAGAGGGGGCCCAAAGGTAAACGTTACTGCATTGATGTGAAGTTCTGGAAGTGGTTTCAATGGCGCGCGTCATAGGAAAGAGAAAGCAACCACAGCGCGCAAAAAAGTTTGCACCAAATTCAATGTGAAGGCCAGCTAGTCACAAAACAAAAAAGATCCAGCTTTAACTTTTTGACAACTTGCAACATCTTTTTAACTGTAACTGCTACTTTTTTCTTGAGCCAGCTTTAACTGTGCTTGCAAGTTCATTGCAAGTAATAAGCGCCATAATGCGCATTCGAGCAATGCATGCAAGTTCATTGCAAGTAGCGTGTTGGAGCAACAAGTGCAGAAAAGTGCACATATGTTGCCAACCCTGGTTGCTGTTCCCACCCCCGAATAGAAAGAAAAGTTCTTTTGTCCTGTTGGATTTCCACAAGACTCTGAGTTTCCCGAACGTCGATCCGCCGATCGCCGAGGCCTCAGTCCAGACATTGAAGGGACTCAGGGAGAAGGGCTTTGCTGTGGGCGTGTTGAGCTTCGCTTCCAACAAGGCCACACAAGAAGGTGTGGCAGCCGGAATCGAAGAGTTGGAGCGTCGGCTTGGTTGGTCGCTTGACGTGTTTGCGATCACCCGCACGAAGTTCTCCACGGACGCTGAACAGGGTGTTTCGATCACTGGTCACATTGGTTGTAAGGCCAAGTTGGTTGCTCAGTTTGGACCCGTCATCTACGTGGACGACCAGGGATCACTTCTGAACGACGTCAGAACGATTCAGCAAAACGCTCCGATCGGCAGCAAGACCCACCTAGTGCGTGCTGCGACATATCCGAGCGAGGCCCTGGTACCGCTAGAGCGATTGATCCGAACGCTCCCGAGGGCGAGTGAGCTACCTTCGGCCCGTGAACTCGGGCGCATCTTCAGTCAGTGATTGGAGAGAGAGAGAGAGAGTCGACCAGTGCACTGTTGATTGCATTTTGCGTCGTGTTGAGCAGGCATTGGTTGGCTGAGCATTGCAACATTGGTCAATAAATCTGTCGGCTAGAAGCCAGGTGTCGGGTTGAGACTGACGTTGCATCATTGAGACATTGTGCAAGTCGTTTGTGTGCATTGAGCATTCAGAGCTGCTGCAATAAACCTGTCGGCCGAAGAGCCACGTGGCAAGTTGAGCAAGCGGCAAACATTGTGCGTCTTGTTGTGTGTGGTGCATTGTTTGTGGTGTTGGTTGAACATTGGTTGATTCGTGGTACTTTGTGGAACGCATTGCCTCCGTGATCTGTCGCGATCCTCGCGACGATCGCGACTTGTCTTCGCGGGTTTACCGCGACCACTGCAAAACTCGCAGCCCTAGGCGCGTGGCAGACAACCGCGACACCCGATCGCGTGCCGAGCAGTGTGAAAGGAAAGGATTGAGCGTTCCGAGGGGTGCCGAGAGTCGGTTGTTGTGAGTTGATTGTTGTTTGTGTGATAGCCCTTCATTACAAAGGCCACCCACTCAAGACTTGTGTTTCTTTGGATCAGTGAACCTAAGTCAAGTTGAGTTGAGCTGTATTGTATTGAGTTGATTGCTTGCGTTGAGAGTCATTGCATTGCACCGGATAGTCGATGTCAAAACGGTCGCTTCCTGCAACACCCTTTCGTGTCATCGGTCCTGAAGGCTCCTACGAAACCTCGAGTTCATCCATTTCTCCGGAGACTGGGCATGCGAGGATGGAGGGTGATTTGGGAACTGGTGGAGGAACCGGGCTCCAAGTGAGCGCGCCGGCCAAGGGAAATACAAAAGTTGCAGTGAGTCGCATGCGGACTCAGAGCTCTGAACCTTCCCAACCTTCTGGGGTACAAGGTGATCCATCGACTGTTCCTGGGGTGCATGTTTATGATCAGAGAACCCTCAACCACCTACAAGTACTCAACCAGCACAACATCGATCCAGAGACACTTGAAAGAATCGTTCAGGGTTACGTTCAATCGCAGTTGAACCATGCAGAACAGGTGATACAGCATGAACGACAACAACATCAACTTGAGCAGCAGAATGCAGCATTACAGTTGAGCCTTGAACATCAACAGATGAACCAACACATACAACAGCAAGAAGCCAGCATGGCACAACAAGCGCATAGCAGAATCAACCAGATCACAACAGAGGCACAAGCAGAAATCCTCAAGCATCAGCAGATAGCAGGACAAGCCCAACGCGAGATACAACGCGTGACGGCTGCAGCTGAAGCCAGATGCCAAGACCTTGCGCGTGAGAACGAAGCCCTTCGAGCTTCGCCTGATGCAGGTTACTTTGATGCATGTCCGTCGGAAGCCGGGAGAGCACCATCGGTTGCTTCAGCCTCACCGTTGAACGTTGTTTACTGCCATGTGTGTGGAAACCAAAACGTTGTTGGACGAGGTTGGTGTTGGAACTGTAAAAGTAGTCTTGAAGAGCCCGAGAATGGTACGGACCCTTTTGAACCTCCATCTCATGAGAGATATATGTACCCAGTGCCTACGCGACCCTCTAGTGTCGCGACCATCAGGTGGCCAGTCAACATCCAAAGGAA